TCAGTGTTTTTCAACCACTGTGCCGCGGCACACTAGTGTGCCGTATGATATTGTCTGGTGTGCCGTGAGAAATTCGTCTACTTTGTCTAAAAATAGCTGCATTCGCTGTTGACGAGCGGTGACTTGTTTTGAACTGTGAGTAACCATGTAATACTTTTTCAAATTTGTAGATGGCAGCAGATAGCTAAGTACTTTGAAACTGAAAAATTGGATGCGACCACTGGCTGTAACAGGTCAGCATTGTGGCGAGAAAGGTAAAATTGGATGCGACCAACAAATGTGGGAGGGAGCGAGACAAGAGCTTTGTGGCGAGTGAGAAGTGAAAGTGATAGAGACGTTTTTGAAAATGAATTATGCCGTTTCTGAACAGGATTAACATCCTCCGCTCTGCCCCGGGGCAGCTGTGGCCGCGTTGTAGTGGTTTAACTATGAAATGTACGATTTTTGTACAACAGCTCTCGCGAACGCACTTCTGAACTGGGTACCGAGCGCAGACCGTAGTCGAGTGGACAGAACCACAGACATGCGGACCGGACAGAACCATGGACTCGCGTTCAGGACCTCCCGTGTCCCTCATCCAAAACTCCTGAATTTAAAGCTCGGATACCAAAATGTTTCCCATGCACTAACAATGCATGTTCTTTGTGTGAGTTATTATTTGACTATTTGGGTAGAGAGTGGATTTTCTTAGTTTTTTTCCACACAGTTAGTGCCACTTTATTTCCAAACTCTTGTTAATTGTATCGAGAAATATTAAATAAAGCTTAATTTCAAGGCCTGGACTTAAGCATTTTGATGAGAATAACTGTATATTGTGAATATAGGCTACAGAGTATACTGTATACATTATAAGATAAGATATACTTTATATATCACACAGAGTATGTACAGTATATATTTTTTTACATTAGTACTGTATACATTTTTACATTTTCTCCTGGAGGTGTGCCGCAAGATTTTTTCAGTGAAAAAAGTGTGCCTTGGCTCAAAAAAGGTTGAAAAACACTGCCTTAAATGATTCTGCATTCTCTCTTCAAAAATCCTTAATTTTTTGAAGTACAGTTTGGAGATCTGCCATTGTTTCCAGTGGCTGCTCCTCTGTTAGCTTACTTGTGGCTAATGTAGCTGCTAGCTCAGATTCTGCAGGACACTTTGTAGCCGTTAGCTCAGGTTGCTCTTCTGCTTCTTCAATGTGGTTTCTAATGTTGGTTTTTGTTTGTCTTGATCTCCCTTTTGTCATAACAACCCCCCTTTTACTACTGCTTGGTCTTGGTTAATGTAAAATTGGAAAAAATTTGCGTCGGAGTTCTGATTCTCTATGCTGTCGCCATGACACACGCCCAACCCGGCAGTCCTCACACATTTTAATTTCTAATTCACATTGATCAAAGTGAATATTGTCTGAATAAAATGTTCTGTTCTGAAGAGGAATTTCAAAAGGTCCTTCAGATGCTATTACAGATCGCCAGCGTCAGTCACTGCCAAGGGATAAGAGAGTCAAATGGACAATTGTTAACGCATCACTGAGCTCTAATACATTTGATTTATTTGTATGGCACAAACTACTGCTCAGTGTTCTCACAATTGCTAAAAATTGCCCTAAATGATGTTGAAATATGAAATAATTTACAGTTCGTAAAACATTGCTTCACCTCTCAGCAAGGAGGTTCTGGGTTCAAATCCTGGTCGTAACAGGTATTTGTTTGAGTTTACATGTGCTTCCTGTGTCTGCGTAGGTTTTCTCCAAGTGCTCTAGTTCCCTCGACCACTAAAAGCCTGTAGAATACATCAAGTCCTCCAGACTACATTCAATTCCATTTCAATTCTATTTATTTTGTATCGGCCTAAATCCCAACAGCAGTTGTCTCGGAGGACTTTACAAAGTTGTCGTTTTGCCAACAACATATCAGAGAATCAATCAGTTCAAACACAGGAAATGCAATGATAGAATACAGAGTCATTGGTCCATTAGGGGCAGATGACCGCTGTCGATAAATGCCCCTAAACTTAAATGCCTTTAAACTAGGCTATCCAGATCTGGATCTGGATATACAAAGACAATATTAAACTAAAAACACCAGGATCACAGAGAGTGCCAAACCACAGATATTTAAACCCAAATTTGTGAGTGTGATGCAAACGGTTACAGAGTATTAGGAGCCACAGCGAATTGGAGAAAAACTTGAGGACCACTTCCATATTGGGCTTGATTAGGCTATAGGGTTAGCATGCCCATTGATTTGAATGAACTTTCTCTGCCATTTCACAGGACGTTTATGTGAATGGGGCTTAAATTAATAGTCTTTCAAACTTCGTCTTCAAGCAGACATTTATAAACAGCATTATTTCTGTTGGACCTTCTGTGACGTGACCTATTTCTATTCAGAGTTTTGTTTTCTCTTCTGTGAATAAATACTTTACCGGGAACTTTACCCGGCGACAAGGGCCAACCATTCGAAGCATCTGTGCAGCCGTGACCGAGAGCAGTGTCAAATGGGAGCATGGTATTTTAGCAACACGGGAAGCTAGTGCTAAAAACATGAAAAAAACAGTGTCAGTAGTCACCAAATCATTATATATATTGAGTCAAATTTGCAGATGTATTTTGCTATTAAATGTATAATACAGTATCTTTTGTGAGTTATGTGTAGAGCCTTAACAAAGTCAGACTCAGATTCTGGTCTCTCTGGTCTCTTGCTGGTCTCTCCCTGGTCTCTCTTGCTGGTCTCTCCCTGGTCTCTCTCTGGTCCCTCTCTATGGTCTTCCACTTTGTTCTTTCTCTGATCTCGCTCTCTGATCTTGCTGTCTGGTCGGTCACTAGTTTCTCTGTTCTCTCTCTGTTTTCTCTCTGGTCTCTCTCTCTGGTCTCTCGGAGCTCTCTGTTCTTTCTCTGAGGTCTCTCTGATCGCTCTGGTTTCTTTTTACAGGGTTCAGCCCATACAGCTGTAGGTTAGCTTGCAGCTCCTTCCTCCTGCCTCCTCCTCCTCTTCTGCTGCTATAGGGTTGTATGAAGCTGGAGTGGAAAAAGCCTAAGCGCACATGTCTGTAGAATGCATTAACCTACAGACTGAGAGACTTCTGAGCACCGCCTTTATCCAAAAAAATGTGCATTTCATCTTGAAGGCAGATGATGTGTAGCTTCCATACTGATACAAAGCGGGCAGACAAATAGGTCAAAGAGGCCAAAAAATTACAATTTGCAAAATATGCAACTATGTGTAATAAAATTGATGTCACTAGTTCCTCGCTCTCAGACCAGTTTGCTTCTATAACTAGTTGAAATGTATTTTTGGCATCTCTCACATCTTTAGATTAGCTTTTTTAGCCTTTTAAACCTTTTTTTCTCCCATTTTTCTCTCTCTCGCTGATATATGTTTTGTCCTTCCCTGCAGTCTCTCTCCAGTTTCTCTGATCTCTCTGGCGTCTCTCTGGTCTTAACCTGGTCTCCTTAGACAGAGGGAGAAAAGAAACCAGAGAGAGACCAGAAAGAGACCAGTGGAAGGTGCTCCGCTCTGAAAGAGGACTGTGAGCAATTTGTTCTAGAGGTTCTTTATGAATCCAGACTCTTAGAATCATCAATGACTCTTTTGACCCCTGGACAATCCATGTTCCAGCCTCTTCCCTCGGGCAGAGGACAATGTTCGCTGAGATGCAGGACATCTGCACATGCTAACATCTTCTTTCCAGAAGCTGTTATCAGTCTGAACGAAGCACTTTAAAGATTGTGCACTTGTATTGAATCTGTTTTTGTTCATTTGTTTCTTGAACTTTTTTTTTAGCCAAAACTGAATCTGAATCAATATGGACACAGCCCTAACCTTATTAAGATAAGATCAGATAAACGTTATTACATGTCACTTTGGCATAGATAGAATCTCTAAGATTGTGCAAAAGACAGAAGTGTGCAACATGTTTGAGGCAAAAATATAGTCTGATTGATTGGTCATATTAACTACTGATGTATAGACTTATAAAAAAGCCTAGAACACGATTTCTCTCCACTCAAAAGTCCTGGTCCATTGCATAAGCCTTGCCATAACGTCCCTCTCGGCCCATAGTGCATTGCTGTATGGGGCTGGGGGGGGAGGGGGAGTAATCCTGGTCCGGTTCAGGTCCAGGATGAATGAGGACTTGTGTGGACCTGTGAGTTGAGCTGTAATTGTGTCCATATGTGTCAGACGGAATGTCAGGTCTGAACGGTTCCTGTGTAGAGACGTCACATTGTATCTGCTTTATCTTCACAATACGAAATCACATCCGGACTTTTTTAGAAGCATGGTTTGGTCTAAATCAAGCTAAGTGTAAAGAACAGTTATTATATATGAGCTTTTTGCCCTGTTTTGAGCTGCCAGAAAACAGAATTAATGACAAACTTTGACAAACTTTGACAAAATTTGGAAAAACATTAAAGCTGGGCTGCTTAACTTTGTTCTCTCGCTCTTGCTGTGAACAAATGTTGTGCCTTCATCTTATTTGAAAACATGTGATCTTGTGTGTAAGAAAGAGCTCTGCATGTCACTATATGACACTGAGAGCTGATTGGCTGAGTCCAAAAATACATGAAAACTAGTGATGGTCTCTCTGGTCTCTCTCTGGTCTCTATAGTTTCTCTCAGATCTCTCTCTGGTTCTCTGGTCTCAATCTAGTCCCTCTGATCTCTTCCTGGTCTCAAGATTCAAGCATTTATTTGCCATTTGCAGTAAACCCTCATTGGACAAACTGGACCAATGATCTTTCTCTGGTCTCTCTCTGGTTCTCCAAACTCTCTCTATTTGCTTTTGTGTTACTCTAGTCTATTGAATTGTCACCCAAATATCACAAAACTATCGAATCGTCGCATTTTTGCCAACTCCCACCGTTTCTAGTTTATTCATTCTTACTGTGGTTCTTGTTCTTTCTCTCCCTGTTCGAGTCTGATATAAATTCCACATTTTTCCAGTATTGTGAGTTTATTCGTCCACATTGTTGGCTGTTTCTCATCTCGCCTCCACAGATGAAGGATGTGGGAGCTCCAGGTTGAATGGATGGAGCAGCTTTAGTCCCTGTTGTCTTTTAAATCTCTACTTCTGCTTCAAAAACAACTGTAGAAATGCCTCTTTTATTATTTAGCCCTCTTATATTTTTGGCTTGACTTGTTTTACTGGGGCTGGGTGATTGGACAGACATTGTAATCTCGTTTCCTTGACCAACTGTTCAGTGAATGAGTCTCATCCAAGATTTTTCACTTTACTTACATTCACAGTTACTCACGTGTTGTTTATTTTCTTCCCAAATTGAAGTACTTAAACTTAAGTAGGCAACGCAAGGTTTCTTTGTATCGCACAATTCATACACAAGTACAACAAAACACTCACAAACACACACACATACACTCATACAAAGGCACACACACACAGGCACAGACATGCACACACGGACGTGCAGATAGCCCGCTCCCCTCCATGTGGGCTCTCTCAGACCTCCCGACACCAAAGTGAATTTTTGCATACAGTATATAATTTAGCCACACATGATTTACCAAAATGATAACTGAAGTTACATTCCAATTACAGGAACCCTCCACTCAGACCCATCAATTCTCATTACGTTCAGGGCTGCACTTTTGGCTTTCAGCTGCCCTCAAAGTGTCCATTGAAAACCTCATTATATCAGAGACCTCTCTTTGACTCACGCTGGAATGGTAAAAATGTGCTGTTCCGCGACACCATTCAGACTCACACTGTTTTCTAATGGGATTTGAGAAAGAGACACGGCAGGAGAACAGAATATCCAGAAAATACAAAAAGCTTTGAGCAATAGAAAGAGACCAGAGAGAGAGACAAGAAGGATAGACCAAAAAGAGACCAGAGAGTGACTACAGAGATACTAAAGAGCAGGGATTCCCAAAGTTTTTAGCCCGCGACCCTCAGGATAAATGCGCTGCTCCCCTGCGACCCCCCACCTCAACAGCCCTTCCCGTCACATGAAATGAGCACGTATTTCACGTATTTCGGACTAACACTGTATGCCACTACCGAGCTGCACTCGCCAGCCCAAAAAAGGAGGCTTGCGTATTTTTACTCGTGTAGTGGCGCAAGTGATGGGCTTGGTGGGCTCCCCCCTTAGCAGAGGTGGAGGGTATTTCTTGCGGCTCGCCCTCACTGTTCTCCGACCGCGGTAAAGAGACCCGGCTTTTCGGAGTCAGCGGTAAAGAGGTCGGCACATTAAAAGCGGGTGGCCGCTTTATGCTGTTACTTACAGTTAAAAGTGCATTGTGGCGGCTCATCCCCCGGCTTCTCTTTCCAACGTTACCGTAAGTAACAGCATAAAGCGGACACGTGCTTTTAATGTGCGGACCTCTTTACTGCTGACTCCGAAAAGCCGGGCCTCTTTACCACGGTGTTCTCCTCTGCTCTCTCTCCCTCCGCCGTCTTCGCACGACCTCACATGTGACTTTTCTCTCCCTCCGGGTTTTTCTGTTGTGGATATTAACCATGTTTCATTTTAAAGCAGGTTTTATTTGTTTGTAGCCTCCAAACACCTTTAGCTTTAGTAAACCACAGCAGGACACGCTTTGTCGCTGTGCATGACGTAATTAATATATATTATATTGTTTTCAGACTCTTCTCCAAACACAATTTAACAACTAGTCCTTTTGAATCAAATCAAATCAAAATAAATATTTAAGGGCTATATATTTCTTTTCTTTTTTTCGGAAATCATCTTGCGACCCCCCCAGGGGTTCCCGCGACCCCCACTTTGGGAAACACTGCTATAGAGAGACCAGAGAATGATAGATGGAAAGAGACTAGATAGATACTAGAGATAGACCAGGTAGAGACCAGTTAGAGACCAGATAGAGACTAGAGAAAAAATGGAAACATACTAGACAGAGACCAGAGGGAGATGTCACTTTTGGACTATTTGCCAGTCAAAGATTCTACATGAATACATCCTATACTTTACTTGGAGGTGTTTGACATTTTCCACATTCTCTGTCGCTGAGGGGAGAGCGCTGAGAGAGAGATAGAATAAAAGTACACTCTGAGGAGCACGAGTCTGAAGTCTGAGGCAGAGGAGAGCTTGGTGCAGTGTGAATTATGTAATGTGGAAACACTATCCTCCGCTGGGGCCTGATATCTGGCCCCATATGGGTCTGTGTGGGTTAGAGAGAGCTGGCAGGGTCTCAGGGCACCGAGGGTAACTGGGTTCAAGTCTGGGTTCAACACTGGGACCACAAAGACGCCATAGCTGGACTCTATTCTCTCTCTCTGGTTACTCTCTCCTCTCTCTTTGGTCTCTCTATGCTCTTTCTCTTGTCCCTCTCACTCTGATCTCTCTTTGGTCTCTCTCTGGTCTCTCTATGGTCTCTCTCTTTCTCTCTCTCTCTGGTCTCTCTCTGGTCTTTCTTCGGTCTTTTCCTGGTCTCTCTCTGGTTCAACTCTGGGCCAGAGAAACGCCATGGCTGGTTTTAGAAGATTAAATGTCACGCATTAGTCACAGACTGGAGTGCGAAGTTTGCACGTTCTTCCTGTGTCTGTGTATGTTTCCTCCGGATGCTCCAGTTTCCCTCTTTCCCTGATCTCTCTCTCCGGTAAATAAACTCACAAACTCCTCCCACTATGATGAGATCAGTTAATTAATATGATTCTAAGTGAATATGTTACAAAACACTGCTGAACTTGTAACTTGTAATAAAATGTCCTCAAGGCGTTAAGTGTTTTGTATAATGAGGTGCATTTTCTGTGCCGTCAAAGAGAGGGCACATTTTCAACTCGTGCAAAGAAAATGGAACACATAATTAACAACAACATAATTACCAACGCAAACTTTATTCTTACATTGTGTTTTCACAGAGTTTGCGTTGGCGTTAGCTGCTGCACTCACAGACAAACCATTGAGACATAATAGGCTTTTTTGAGCTTTTCTCTGTGTTATGTAATTGTTATTCATGAAAAAAAAGACATGGAGTTGTTTTTGGATCCATCCTTCAGGATCCTGTCCCAGTGATAGCCAGTCGATTGCTGGACAATGCTAACCTGCTACCTCAATGACGCTAAATAGGGACGTGGTCATGGAGGAAGTTTTGATCCGCAGGATTAGTTCAGAGGACCCCCTCCATTCTGCTCCTTTGTTCTCTCTCTCTGGTCTCCCTCAGGCCTCTCTGGTTTCTCTCTGGTTTCTCTCTGGTCTCTCTAGTCTCCCTCTGGTCTTCACGTAGCCCTCAGTCTTGCCCCTCAGACTCTGTTCTCTGCAGCTGTACAGTATATGCACAGTTTGATATCTCTGGTCTCTCTAGTGCTCTCCTGTCTCCTGCAGATATAGAGACAACAATTATGTAGGATTATTTTGATTGTCATATTAGCCCAAAAATTACCATAATCAGACTCAGAGGATTTATGTCTCGCTGCAGGAAACTTCACATTGTGATTTACAAAGCCTCCAATAACAGACAGCTTTCCTCACTATGGATTATTCATTATTGGATAGAAGAGCTTTAAGTTAGAGAGTAATAAAACCAAACTGTTTTCAAACCGTTGCTCACATGTGGCACAGGTGAAGGGGATTAGAAAGCTTCACACGAGGGACAATAATTTGCACTGTGTTTGGGAGAGAGAGAACACAAGAGAGAGACCAGAGAGAGACACGAGAGAGACCAGAGAGAGACACAAGAGAGACCAGAGAGAGACACAAGAGAGAGACCAGAGAGAGGCACCAGAGAGACACCAGAGAGAGACACAAGAGAGAGACCAGAGAGAGACACCAGAGAGACACCAGAGAGAGACACAAGAGAGACACCAGAGAGAGAAACAAGAGAGAGAGCAGAGAGAGACACAAGAGAGACCAGAGAGAGACACAAGAGAGAGACCAGAGAGAGACACCAGAGAGACACCAGAGAGAGACACAAGAGAGACACCAGAGAGAGAAACAAGAGAGAGAGCAGAGAGAGACACCAGAGAGACACCAGAGAGAGACCAGAGAGAGACACCAGAGAGAGACCAGAGAGAGACACCAGAGAGACACCAGAGAGAGACACCAGAGAGAGACACAAGAGAGAGACACAAGAGAGAGACCAGAGAGAGACACCAGAGAGACACCAGAGAGAGACACAAGAGAGAGACCAGAGAGAGAAACAAGAGAGAGACACCAGAGAGACACCAGAGAGAGACCAGAGAGAGACACCAGAGAGACACCAGAGAGAGACACCAGAGAGAGACACAAGAGAGAGACACCAGAGAGAGACACAAGAGAGAGAGCAGAGAGAGACACCAGAGAGAGACCAGAGAGAGAGGGACCAGAAAGAGGCCAGAGAAAGACAATAGACCAGAAAGAGACCATATAAGAGATCAGAGAGAGACCAGAGAGAGCATAGATAAAGAGACTAGACAGAGACCAAAGATAGACCAAAAAACTGTTCAAAACCGATACAAAGACAAAAGTAGAAAAATAACACAATATAATAAACAAACTCTCTGACCCTACACCTCCCACCCACTACTACTATTTGCTGAATGGACTAATGCCTTTTTCCATTCTAATGAAAATTCTTATGGATGTGTGGTGAAAAGACATCACAGGTCTAAACAACACGCCAACATTTCCCTCACTCTTTTTCTCAGATAAAGAGTGCAAAGACGGAGCTGGAGGCCGAGGAGCTGCTGCTGCGGAGCCTGCAGTATCTGGAGCGATACATTTACCTCATTCTGTTCAACGCCTACCTGCACCTGGAGAAGAAGGACTCTTGGGGGCGCTCTTTCACGCAGTGGATGGAGCAGGTAACGTGCACCTAAATTAGCTGATAAAGGAGACATATCTATATTCCATGTTCTATTACACGCCAAACTTTCCCGTTGTTGTCTGCAGTAGTCGTAAGGTTATAAAACGACGGACAATATTTTGCGTACCGACAGAGTGACGAGCCGTGGTGCTGTGTTTGGGTGAATGCATCTCTGACACACTGCTCAGAGATGCAAGTTGTAAAGAAAAATATTTGAAAATGTTTATGTTGCTCTTTGTGGATGAGAAACTCGCCGTAGTGCCTTATTATGCGATTTACTCTGGTCTCAATGCACTTTCTTATCCTTCTCGTCTCTCTCTCTCTGGTCTTCCACTCGAGTCTTCCTGAAGAGAAGAAGACTATTTTTTGGCACTTTCATCTAGACGCGTTCCTGGTAAAAAGCTGACACGGGCCCAAACAACACTTTAACCTTTCCCACTGTTGTCCATGATTTCTTTGAACTGGTTTGTGCTGTGCAGTTGGCATTTTGTGTTGTTGTTTTGAGACCTATTGGTTTGAATGGAGCTGGACTCTCTTCCTCCTCCCCACAGCTTTTCTAACCATCACTGCGCGCGCACACACAAACACACACACACACACACACACACACACACACACACACACACACACACACACACACACACACACACACACACACACACACACACACACACACACACACACACACACACACACACACACACACACACACACACACACACACACACACACACAGAAGCACACTTGGCTTGTAAATGCCTCAAGGACAATCCAGTGAAGCCTGGCAACACCTGAGCACAATGTCGTTTTTAACCTTCATGCAAATACAGAAATGCAAGTGGATACATTCATCAGCTCAAGGCTTTTGAACTTAGTTTTTAAAGCTGTTTTCACACCGCCGATTCATGGATGTGCGTTGATGGAGGCATGGACTTAACTAAATATCAGCTGAGTTTGGTCAATCTGACGTACTGCCCTGCATTGGGGAAAAACCATAGACTTTAAATATCAATGAACGTAGTCACGCCTATCTGTGCAGTTCTAACTTACGTGCCACCACTTCCGCCGTCTATGGGCAGTTTCAAAATGGCCGCGGGGGCTGGAAAATGTGAAAAAACGCATCTGCGCATGCGTCAGCCAGCACGAGCCCCATTCATTTAACGAGTGCCTTCAAAATTTCACAGCAACTAAACTAGACTGGTCCAAACAAAAATCACTCCCCTCAGCATTGACACACATGTGGAACATTGGGCCAAGAGCCGACTTTTGGACCATCCTGTAAAGACGTTTTTGAGAGGTAAGAAGATAAGTACATTAGCATTGAATAATTCTTTTTCCAGGTCCACCCCCATCGCCTCGGGGTTGTATTGCAGGTTGTCAGAGCACGTAATTTTGGACATTTTTGAGCCGGGACCCGCCCCCACTTGGAAAAACTGCAGGAAAGTGGTGGGCGGGCTTTGCTAACGTTGGTATTTCTGTATCGGCGAACATGTTAGCATCACTTGTTTACAGTCACAGTAGAATGTCAACTCAGAGTGAAGACGTATGTTCACAAGCACCGCGTCCTTCATTGTCAGCCCTGGTTTAATCCTGGTTTGGCTCATGTTTTAGTTGTTTTGAAATGTCTCTTTGACCGGCTTGTTGTGTCATGTGTGACCACTTTGCTGCTTTCTGATTGGTTGCCGCATGTTTGTGGAGCGAGAATGTTCATCTCCTATTTTCTCAAAGTGTGTAGAAGTAGTTCAATGGGAATTCACTTTTTCAGTAATAATATTATATTTCTAGTTCCTGGCTATAAAAAGTTTGGTTCTATCACTAGTCTGTCTCGGGTCTCTCACTTGTCTCTCGCAGGTCTCTATCTCATCTCTCTGGTCTCTCCCTGGTCTCTCTCTCATCTCTCTGGTCTCTCCCTGGTCTCTTTCTCATCTCGGTCTCTTTCTGGTCTCTCTTGTCTCTCTCTGAATCTCCAGTTCGACCTCATATCCGTCCAATCCTATTTCATAACAGACATTAGATGCACTTCAATGAATTGCACACATTTGCTTCTCCAAACAACCACATACTTTGCTGCTGTTGTATTTTCAGCCTTTGTCCTCTCCTCATTTTTGGGATTCCAAACAAGATCAATAAAAACTCAAGAGACAAGCAGCATGAGATAATATATTTTTAGAGTCATCAAAAGGCAGTTGACAACCAGTGGTATCTCTGAGGCCTGAACATTTTTTTTTCAGGATAGAACTGCTCATACATCAGAGTAGAGCCCTGCACTTGAGCCCTTGGCCCGAGGGCCCCGACGGCCCGACAGCCCGAGGGCCGGGCTTCGGGCCGATGACCGCATAATGACCTCGGACACGGGCCGGGTTCGGGCTCTTCATTTTCAGAGCGGCAGAATAGATTTACGAGCGCACCCACTGAATATAGCGTTCTATCACGCTGTAGTGTTTGTTGTTCTGTGTAGTGTTGTCATTGACGGCACATAGCATTACTTATGTAATGTGCAGATGTGTTGCAGCATCGGGGGCATCATACAGATGCGGCCGTTCACTCTGCACCACTCCGCACACACAGAACTCATTGCAACACATCACTACCATGTATAACTCCGCCCTCTAGCTAAGTCTGCGTTCATATCAGTGCGCGGCACTATATACTACGCTAAAACATTGTTATGGGAGGTTACAAAAAAAAAAAAAGGCGGGCTTGATGCGGGTTTCGGGCTTGAAAATTCAGAAACCATATCGGGCCGGGCCGGGCTGGGGCGCCACCCCCTCGGGCCAGGGCCGGGCTCGGGCCCAGATAATAGGCCCGTGCAGGGCTCTACATCAGAGTCCTGGCCCCAAAGGAGAGAAGTCTATTAGTCTGCAGGTTTTTTGAGATAAGGGAAACTGGAGCACCTGGAGGAAACATGGGGAGAACAGGCAAACTCCTCTCAGTAACGTGCTGGAAAGAAGTCGAACCCAGAGCCTTCTTGCTTTAACGAGAAACAGAAAAGAGGAGGGAAAGAGACCAGAGAGAGACCAGAAAGACCAGAGAGAAAGAAATCAGAAACAGAGAAAAGAGAGAGATCATAGTGACCAGAGAGAGACCTGAGAAAAACGGAAAACAGACCTGACCTCAGGAAGAATAGCCACGATTGATTTTCTTAGTTGAGTAGTCAGATGTTGCAGATTGAGGTTTCAAAATCTCTGTCTGTTCATAGAAAAGGCTCACAAACACATGCATAAAGATGTTTTCATACAGCCCTTGAATTTTACTTTCCTTTCCTTTTACCTCACGCACAACACCATAATGCAAGTGTATGGTTGTTGATCTATGTATTGACAGAATGTAATCACTGAAGCCTTTCACATTAACCATTTCTCTCTCGGACCAATGTCGAACTCTCAAAACGCCTTCACCTTTAAGACCTTGTCACAGATTCGTACAGGTCAACCCTTTTCTGCTGCGATGCGTTATTAGCTGAATATAGATTTTCTTCAAAAGCTTTGATCTGGAAAAGGGCTGCTCCTGTACAAATCCAAACGGTCAAAAGCCGAGGCTTTTGGTCAAAGATATTCAGCCAGTGTGAGATTAATCAGAGAGATTTGTACAGGGTTTCTCATTGGTAAACAACAATATTATAATCCTCAATCCATACTATTCTGAGAGTCCACTAGAGAGACCAGAGAGGGACCTGAGAGAAATCAGAGAGTCCCCTAGAGAGACCAGAGAGGGACCTGAGAGAAATCAGAGAGTCCTCTAGAGCAGTGTTTTTCAACCACTGTGCCGCGGCACACTAGTGTGCCGTATGATATTGTCTGGTGTGCCGTGAGAAATTCGTCTACTTTGTCTAAAAATAACTGCATTCGCTGTTGACGAGCGGTGACTTGTTTTGAACTGTGGAGTAACCATGTAATACTTTTTCAAATCAGTAGATGGCAGCAGATAGCTAAGTACTTTGAAACTGAAAAATTGGATGCGACCACTGGCTGTAACAGGTCAGCATTGTGGCGAGAAAGGTAAAATTGGATGCGACCAACAAATGTGGGAGGGAGCGAGACAAGAGCTTTGTGGCGAGTGAGAAGTGAAAGTGATAGAGACGTTTTTGAAAATGAATTATGCCGTTTCTGAACAGGATTAACATCCTCCGCTCTGCCCCGGGGCAGCTGTGGCCGCGTTGTAGTGGTTTAACTATGAAATGTACAATTTTTGTACAACAGCTCTCGCGAACGCACTTCTGAACTGGGTATCGAGAGCAGAACGTAGTCGAGTGGACAGAACCACAGACATGCGGACCGGACAGAACCATGGACTCGCGTTCAGGACCTCCCGTGTCCCTCATCCAAAACTCCTGAATTTAAAGCTCGGATACCTAAATTTTTCCCATGCACTAACAATGCATGTTCTTTGTGTGAGTTATTTGACTATTTGGGTAGAGAGTGGATTTTCTTAGTTTTTTTCCACACAGTTAGTGCCACTTTATTCCCAAACTCTTGTTAATTGTATCGAGAAATATTAAATAAAGCTTAATGTCAAGGCCTGGACTTAAGCATTTTGATGAGAATAACTGTATATTGTGAATATAGGCTACAGAGTATACTGTATACATTATAAGATAAGATAAACTTTATATATCACACAGAGTATGTACAGTATATATTTTTTTACATTAGTACTGTATACATTTTTACATTTTCTCCTGGAGGTGTGCCGCAAGATTTTTTCAGTGAAAAAAGTGTGCCTTGGCTCAAAAAAGGTTGAAAAACACTGCTCTAGAGAGACCAGAGAGGGACCTGAGAGAAATCAGAGAGTCCTCTAGAGAGACCAGAGAGGGATCTGAGAGAGATCAGAGAGTCCTCTAGAGAGACCAGAGAGGGATCTGAGAGAGATCAGAGAGTCCTCTAGAGAGACCAGAGAGAAAAAGGAGATAGACCATAGAGAGTGACCAGAGAGAAAATGGAAAGTGACCATAGTGACCAGCGAGAGAGCAGTGGCAGCATAGGGAGGTACAGGCAGAAA